TCAAGATATGCTTTGTATTTTTCTTTAAAACATTTAAGGTTATTAACATTACGAATATTTAAAGGTATATTGTTCCAAATGTTCATGCCATAATAATAAAAATGTGTCTTTAATATAGTTTGTTTTTAGGTATTGTCCATAATACAATATCTTTTCGTGACCTAGATCTTAAGTTATATATTTTGTTGTCGGATAAAGTCATCAGTTCTGTCATATAAGTCGGTGCCATGTTATTTAAAGTTTTTAAAAACAAGCACCGCCGTGTGGTATTTACATCTGTCAAGGAACGGTAACCAGTTCAGAGTTTCGAATAGATTTATTGACGGAGATCTTTGTGGTTGCTGTAAAATGATTTTAGCAATTCGTTTTTGTATTTTACAAACATTATTTATGTAGTTTGTGTTTCCTTTACCCCATATAATACAACAATAGTCCATAATGGGTAATATATATGCATTGTAAAACAATAATTTCATATCAAAGTGCAAAAAATACGATATTTTTTTCAATAAGGCAATTTTTCCGTTAAGTTTTTTACAAACATTGTCAATTTGCAAGTGCCATTTTAAGTTGTTATCTATGCAGATACCCAAGACGTTTTGATCAGTTACATTTTCAAGAGCTATTTCATTTATCTTAAGATACAATTTTCTCATAATATTTACTTTTTGTCTTGTTCCCATACCATACATTTTGATTTATCTGGATTTAAGGCCATATTATTTATTTTGCACCATTTGTCAATGTTATTTAAATGATCTTGTAGTTTTATTTCTACTTTTGATATATTTTCTCCGGACTCATAAAGAGTAGAATCGTCTGCGTATAAATCAATTTTTATATCATTACCAATGAAAGCTATGTCATTTATGTATATTAGAAATAATAAAGGTCCTAATATTGAGCCTTGTGGAACACCGGAAATTATTTTCATTGTCTGAGATTGAAGATTACCTATCTTAACCAGTTGTATTCTGTTAGAAAGATATGACTTAAAAAACTTAACGGCATTTTCAGAAAAATGATAAAGTTTAAGTTTATGCAAAAGTATTTCAAGGTCAACCAAATCAACGGCTTTTTTTAAGTCTAAGAATACAGTCCCGATAATTTTTCCACTGTCAACATCTTTTAACCAAGTATCTATTAAACTAATGAGTGCAGTATTGCATGAATGATTTTTACGAAATCCTGATTGTTTATTATGAATTATGTTCGTTTTTTCAAAGAATGAGTGTATTTGTTTGGTAATATGGCGCTCAAATATTTTGGATATAGTTGACAAAATTGATATCGGTCGATAGTTATTTGCTTCATTCTTATACCCCGATTTAAAAATAGGTATAACTCTAGCTCTTTTTAAATCATCTGGAAAAATATTAGATTTAATACTATTATTGATAATTGATGCAATTATTGGTGTAATATAATGTCCACAATATCTAATGATGTTTGGTCCAATTCCATCTAATCCTGTAGATTTTTTAATATTCAGTTTTTCAATAATAAGTTTTACTTCAAACGGTGTAATTAATTCAATATTAAATTCATGATATATTAGCTTTTGGTCTAAAGTTTCTTTCAAGTTTGAAAAATGTGTATTTGAAAACTTTGTTTTATGTATGACATTCGAGATATTGACAAAATACTTGTTTAATTCATTTATAATATTTACATTTCCGTAAATTTCTTTATTACCAGTCACTAGTCTGTCTGGCATTGTAATACAACCTTTTTTATTTATATTTGAAACGTCCTTTAATTTTTTCCATAAAAATGCCGGGTCTTTGTTATTTTTAATAGCATTGTTAAAGAAATCTCTTTTACTTTTTTAATCATTGATGATATTTTATTTCTGAGCAATTTGTATTGTTCATGTTTCCCTACTTTAAGATAGTACTCGCGTTCATGTATTAGATATTTTATCTCATCAGTAAACCATTCCGGGCGGTGTTCACGTTTGATACGTTTTTCTTTTATTGGTGCATGCTTTTTCAATATTGTATTTAAAATGGAGTAAAATAAGCTAAGAGATTCATTCGGATTAATTATGTGCTCGACTAAGTCAAGATCGGATAAAGCAAGGTCTACCTGAAAATCAATTTCATTCAAGTTTTTAAAACATCTGTATTTAATCGAATTATGTTCATTTATCAATCGGGTACATGCTTTCGTTGATCTTGAAATACATATCGGATAATGATCACTTAATGAGGTATCAGAAACAAACGATTCAATAATATATCTGCTACTGTTTGTATAAACATGATCTATAATTTTTTGGGTACGTTTTGTTATCCTAGTAGGATCTGTGATAAGTTGTTTCAAACCATATTTCGTTATCAAATCACCCCATTTTGTATTGTCATATTTTTTCTTTTTATTCATTGGATAAAAGTTTATATTGACATCTCCTAGAATATGATATTCTATATTTGATATATCTATTATACTTAGTTGTTTTTCATAATCGTCAATCCAAGATTGGTGTACATTTGGTGGGCGATATATAAAATTTAAAAGAAAAGGTTTGCAATTTTGGGTAAATAATTTCCAACCAAACAGATTCTAATTCGTCCGATTCTATATCGTAACGGCGCCGATATGGCACCTTGTCAGCAATATATATTACAATTCCCCCGCCTTTATAACAACTTTTACGGTCCTTTCTTTCGTGTGTGAAATTGTTTATATTTAATTCATCATCTGTTGTATCATCACCAAGAAATGTCTCAGTAAAGCCGAAAATATCTGGCGAATTTAATTTGTTTAATAGATTGTATTTTATTTCGTCTATTTTCGGCATTAAATGATTAACGTTAAGGTGTACAATATGTAAACCTCGTTTTTCAAACTTAGAATTGAACAATTTATTATCTGGAAAATTTGATTTATGGAGCGTAACATTATTTAGTACTTTGCAATTATATTCATCATTTCCGTATTTATTGTATGGCACTGATTGTTCAAAAGAAACAATTTGATTATCAGATGTATTAGTGTCTATAAATTTCCGTTCTTTTACTATCAACTCGATAATTTTTCGCGTATTTAAACATATGTGTAAAATATCAATTGTGGAGTACAACATAAAATCGTAACATACATTATAAACAATAGTAAAAGAAGGAGTGTACATGCCTCCTATCATAAAACAAGTTTTTCCTGCAACCCATTTTGTAGGAACATATCGAAACCGACTTTTTTATTTAACGGAATTAATTGAAAAGTTCTTGTGTGTGACTGAAAATATTACTATATAGTTATTTCTTATTTGAGATATACCAGATATGTTTAATGTAATATATATAAGAGAAAAATCAAATTCAAATTATCTACATTTTTTAAAACTATTGTTTTTACTCTCACATACCTCGATCCAGTAATCTGTTAGAATACACATGTTACTGTTATTTGATGAAATCTCATTTTTGGATTCTTTTTCTAACAAAGTAGTCTTATTACGTTCACTTACATTGTTTATGTATTCATTGTTAAATTTATTAAACGTTTTGGAATTTGTCTTTGCTATAATAGCTTTTAGAGTGTCTGTCCGCATTATCCTAGTTCAGATACCAACAGTCTTTAGACTTGTGATTTATTCTTCCGCAGATAAAACACTGATCAAAGCATTTCCTACTTCCGGTTCCGCCATATCGCATTTCACTGGAAAAGTCGTACCCATTGCTCCGTTTCGAGGAATGTTACCACCTTCTTGTCAAGTTTTTGTTCATGCTTCTGGTTCTATCTGTTACAGTTGCGCGCATATCGGAATCTGGGGAGGATTGTTGTTTGATTATACGTAGCCTTTTATTTATTGCCAGGACTAACGCAGACGACCATCCCTTTCTATCAAGTAACGAGAACATAAGCCGACGAAGAACTATAAATGTTATAAATAGATTGAAAAAAGACCCAGAACTTCTAAAGAAATATGGAGATATTATTTACGAGCAGGAACAGAGAGGATTTATAGAGAAGGTTTACAGAGCCATTATCTCCTTAGTATAGACGACACATTAGTCCCGACCCCAATGTTACCACGACGAAAAGTACACTACATTCCCCCATCATCCTGTGAGAAAAGACTCGGCAACCACACCCATTCGTATCGTTTATGATTGCAGTTGCAGATCATCTAAGAATTCTCCAAGTTTTATGATTGTCTGATGAATATACCACCACAACTTAACGACTTGACTTCATATTAATTACTGCGTTTCCGGTACAACAAATTTGCTGTCTGCACTGATATTGAGAAAGCATTCTTAAACGTCAGCCTACATCAAGACGACCGTGACGTCACCCGTTTCTTTTGGCTATCAGATCCAAATGATCCAGGATAGTTCTCTTCAGATATACTGTTTCAAGTCAGTGCTTTTTGGGCAACATGCTCACCCTTCATTCTGAAACCGCAGTTATTATGAAACATTGTAGATTTATTAATCACTGTTTGGATTTCTACAAAGACAGCAGACACCTGTTCCAGCAAGCTGGCTTTAATTTGAGATCCTGGAGCTCAAAACAACCCAAAATTACGTTAAAATCATCCAGTGCGATGAAGTCGGCGACAAGGATACAGTCACAAAGATCCTGGGAATGCGTTGGGATCCTTCAACCGATGAAATGTCGTTTTCGCCAAAGATTTCAAACCCAAGTAATGACTTGTTATTAACTAAAAGGGAGATTTTGAAAGAGTCGTCATCAATCTTTGATCCGTTGGGATTGCTCTGTCCAATTACTGTTTAGAGGGAAGATTGTTGATACAGTTGCTATGGAAACAAAACTTCCACTGGGATGAGGTTTTTACCAGAAGAAATAATTACGAAATGGATAAAGATAAGAGAAGATTTAGTCAAGGCCACCGGAATAAAATTCAACCGACAATATTCCCAAAATCAACACACAAAAAATGAAAGCCTGCATATTTTCGCCCGATTCAAGCATTAAAGCGTATGGAGCATGCGCATATCTCGTTTCCGGGTAACGAAAGCATACTCATAATGGCGAAGAGTAAAGTAGCCCCAATTAAGCAGCTTACAGTTCCAAAGCTAGAACTTTGTGCAGCACTTCTTGCAGCAAGACTTTGTCAACATATAAAGTCAGCTATTGACTGTAAAAGTATATATCTATGGAGCGATAGTCAAATCGTGTTGAGTTGGATTTCTTCAGCCAAAAAAACAACCGATATTTGTTTCTAATCGTGTAAAGGAAATACAAGAGATGTCTAATGGTTTTCAATGGCAGTATTGCCCGACTCATGAGAATCCTGCAGACCTTTTATCGAGAGGACTTACCTACGAAAAAATTCAAAATAATCCATTGTGGATGCATGGCTGACGGATGAGAGAGCATTTCCAAGGAACGATTACCAGTTTGTTGAATATGACAATCCTAAATGTGAAACAACTGTCTTGACAGCCTCAAGAGACTCATTACAAACACCAAATATTATAGAGATTCTAGACTTCCAGAGATATAATTCATATATGAAACTATTACGTGTTACGGCCTACGTCAACCGATTTGTTAACAATTGCAGACGTTCAGAGAAAATACGTGGACCTTTAGAGACACACGAGATGGATGTAGCAGCCAGACAACTAATAATACACGTGCAACGACAAAATTACCCAGAAGTGAAAAAGTACCTGTTAGAAAACAAATCTAGCAGGTCAAGAAGACCAACTATAGTAACACAGCTAGATCTTTTTATGGATGACGATAAGCTAATTCGTTGCGGCGGTAGATTACATAATGCACCGTTACAAGAAAGCACGAGATTCCCGTACCTTCTTCCGTCTAAACATCAATTTACAGACCTTATCATAAAGGACGCACATATTGTTCAGCTTCATTCCGGTACAGCAAGTACTGTCACATTTCTTCGTCAAAAGTACTGGATTCCAAGTATTCGTCAACGTGTCCGGAAAATTGTTCGCTCGTGCGTCACGTGCCGCAAGGTAACAGGTAAAGCATATAGTATTCCCGACGCCCCACCTTTACCGAGCAACAGATTGAAACAAGCACCATCATTCACTGTGACAGGGATAGATTTCACTGGAGCATTGACAGTAAAAACACCTCATGGAGATCTACAAAAGGCATATATTTGTCTTTTCACGTGCGCAAATACACGAGCTATCCATTTAGAGATTGTGTCAGACTGTGGAATCATTCATTTTGGCTCTACGGCGTTTCTTCAGTAGAAAATCAATTCCAAAAATTATAATGTCTGATAACGCCCTTACATATATAGCCACTGCCAAAATCCTGAAGGACGAGATTCTTGGAACACACAATATTTCATGGACTTTTATCCCGCAACATGCCCCTTGGTATGGTGGTTGGTGGGAGAGACTTATAGGTATTACTAAGACATGTATCAGAAAAGTGCTTTGGAAATCATTAATAAGCATGGAAGTTCTTCGTACACTTGTAACAGAAATAGAATGCATTATCAATGACCGCCCTCTTACATATACATATACAGATACCAAAGATGAAGAACCATTAACACCATCGCATCTACTATACGGACGAAGGATTACCTCCCCTATTTATCCAGACGACAGAGATCCCACAACAAAGGAATTAACCCAAGAATCGGCCGGTAAATTGTTCAGATTTAAGACTGCAACGCTTGATCATTTTTGGTCAAGATGGAAACACGAATACCTCACATCGTTGCGAGAGTTTCACAGAAAATCTGGTAACCACGGTGACAATATCAATGTTGGTGACGTGGTTCAAATACATGACGAGTATTTACCAAGGAATCGCTGGTCATTAGGAATTATAGAAGATGTAGTAACTGGCGGTGATGGACATATTCGAGCAGCCCGTGTTAGATCCAGACGAGGAATTACTACACGATCTATTGCCAAGCTGTACCCACTAGAACTTAAGTAACATTGTACACGTGATTCACGTGCATTTGCTGGCACCAATTTTTCGCGCATGCCTTTAAAACATAAAGTGACATTTGCAATGCGTTATATACAATCAGTGAAACTTTACCGGTTAATTACAATAAGAGTATAATAACAATGATTTGAAACTAATTGCAATAGTGGTTTACTATCAGAGACAGTTTATGAATTTAATCGATTGATCGAACTTGTAATTTAATTCACTGGATATATCTGATTTCAAAGTTTCTAAGTTACAATACTTCATTTCATTGAATTTCAGTTTGTACAATTATTATTTTATTTAATATGATCTTGAACAAGCATTGTGGCCCCCGGAGAGCCCTTTCAGGTAAGGAAGGTGACCAGCATGTTTGTGATGAGATTTCAGTGGCTTGGAAATTTCAGGAATAATCAAAACCTTTATGGGAATATTTTCTCCTGGTGTTTCTAAATACACGGTTGCTCTGCTTAAATGTCGCACGCGACGCTCTGTGTCTCCGAAACCCGACATGTATAAAATTTCACTTCCGGTGGACTCCAATTGTAATTTTTGGGCTAGGTGTTCACTCATAAATGAACTCTGGGAACCTTCATCAAATAGGATGTTGGCAGAAATGGAGGTACTTTTTGAAGTTACCATGGAAACTGCCGTCTTTAATAACACAGGACCTGGTGTGGTAGAGTGAGCAGAATGTAATACCGAAGTGGAGTTCTTTTTCTCATTGTTGATAACAGGATACTTATGTGTAGATTTGGCTGCTATTTCTACTCCACAAATACTAGTATGATGTCTGCGTGAGCATATTTTACACTTGAATTTAGACTTACAGTCTGTAATCTTGTGGTTTCCCAGACAATTAAAACATAGCCTTCTTTCCTTCACTATCTTCATTCTCTGTTCACGATCTTTAAATTTTACACAGTCTATACAAGAGTGCTCTCCCTTACAAAACGCACATCTCTGTCTATGTTGTCGTAAATTGCCTGGTATATATGTATTTTTTCTTTCCGGCTTACTGGAATCAGATTTTGTTAAAAAAGTTGCTGTAGGAATGAAGTCTTGAGGGGTATTCAGCAAATTTCCAGCGTCTAAAATATTGATTTCATTCAGTATACATTTCGTCAATTCACGCAAAGACCACGACTGTATCCCGTGTGCACGTGTAATGTTTGTTCTGACCTCTGGTGGTAGTTTTTGAAGGATAACCGGTGTAAGTAGTGAACCGTATGTGGTCTCATTCTGATTCAGTGAAGCTAATGCTCTGATATATGTCTCTGTTGTATCATAGAATTTTCTAACGCTCTGTATAGTGTACCTGGGTGCTGGAACTTCTAGTAATGCTTTCATGTAAGTTTGTATAATTCTGTCCTTTTGACCATATCTCTCATGTAACAATGAAATAGCCTGTTCATAATTGACATTAGTTAAGGCAAATCCAGCTATTGTTTGCAAGCTTCATTTTTAAGACACGACTTCAAGTAATTGAATTTCTGTACTCCGCTAAGTGAAAGATTCGTGTGTATAGCAGACTCGTAAGAATCCCAAAATGGACACCAGTCAAGGACATTTCCGTCGAACTTCGGCAAATCTAACTTTGGTAATTTGTGATATACTGAGCTTTGAGATAAAGACGGTAAGAAATGCATCTGGGAAGTATTCTCGCTGATACCTGGCGCACAAATCTCGGATGCTTCGCTTGATACGGACGCTTGAAATGGCTGAGCATTAGGGTTAAGAGCTGGGGAATTGTAGTTAAAATTTGAAATTGATACCTTCCTAAAATCATGTATCTTCTGTATCTTGGTCTTTAACATGTATATATACTCATCATGCTCAAGAATTTCTGTTTCTATTTGTTCTTCTTCTTCTTCGTCTTGAAAAGAATCAAGGATTCTTTTCGTGAATCTCCGTGATCGTCTGCTGTTTCTGTTTGAGGGAGTCAATGATCGTCACAAGTTCCTCGTAATCGGCTGCCTCCCGCTGAAAATT